CATAATAGGCCCAATAAGCCCACAGTTAGTTAAAACATTGTTAATCAAAATATTATTTATATTAATTATCAGATTTTTTTTTACTTTTAATTGGTACCGTTGGCAACGTCATTTTGCATTGTATTGTCCCTTTGCCTGGACTTTTCGCTATTAATCGTCAGTTATTATTCACTAATTTGTCTATGAGCCTAATATGATTGAATGAGGGATAACAATATTGCACAAAACAAACAGAAAAGTTTGAATAGTTGATGAAATAAACAAGAAAGGCCAGCTTTATCTTTCGATCAAGACAACTTAAAACGGTATACACAATGCACAAACAGTCTTGAATGAACTTAGAAAGTAGCTCCCAACTGCTTTTAATTCCCTCTTCGACCTATCCCACGCTCCTAGGGAGACTTCACAAGGTTCCGAGACAAGTTTAATATCTTGTCTCCCTTAATCTCTCTTTTGCCTTGTATATTTCACTTATTTTTCAATCAAAGTTTTCACGTAATTTTTTTCTTTTTTCTATTCCAGAATGACAAATGTGAATGGTCATAGTATGGAGATGGTGATTGATATGGGGAAACCAGTAAAGTTTACTGGGGGTTTGGCATTTTCCAGCCTTACGTACACTGTGATAAAGAAGCAGAAGGATGCTAATGGAAACTGGGAGAAACAAGAAGTGGACTTATTGCATAGTATAACTGGTTATGCCCGCAAAGGACAAATTACTGCAGTTATGGGGCCTAGTGGTGCTGGAAAATCGACATTCTTAGATGGATTGGCTGGAAGAATTGCGAGTGGAAGCCTTAAGGGCGTGGTATCGTTGGATGGGGTGGAAGTAAGCCCGAGCTTGATTAAGAGAACTTCTGCATACATAATGCAGGATGATAGGCTCTTTCCAATGCTTACTGTTTATGAGACACTAATGTTCGCTGCTGATTTTAGGTTGGGATCAATCTCGAGGGAGGATAAAATACAACGCGTCGAGAAACTTATCGAGCAGCTTGGTTTAACGGTAAGTTAGTTCACCACTCTGATTCAGGAAAGAACTAGCACAATTTCCCAAAACCAACAATTGAACTTCGTTGTATGATTCTTTTTGTTGCAGTCATCGAGGAACACATACATAGGTGATGAAGGGACTCGAGGAGTGTCTGGTGGTGAGCGTCGTAGGGTGTCAATTGGAGTAGACATCATACATGGACCTTCTCTGCTGTTCTTGGATGAGCCAACTTCAGGTCTAGACTCGACAAGTGCTCATAGCGTGATAGAGAAGGTGCACGATATAGCTAGCTCTGGAAGCACAGTCATTCTCACAATTCATCAGCCTTCATCGCGTATTCAGCTGCTTCTCAACCACCTGATTATCCTGGCACGGGGGCAGCTTATGTATCAGGGATCTCCTAAAGATGTGACCCTCCATCTTGGGCGAATGGGACGAAAAGTCCCCACGGGGGACAACTCCATAGAGTATTTCATTGATGTGATACAAGAATATGACCAATCAGAAATCGGAGTTGAGGCACTGGCTGAGTTTGCTCTTACTGGTTTGAAACCACCACCGCTGGATGAAGAAGAAGATATGCCACTTTCTACCGTGGATCCATCACCTGTACGCCCTAGGCCTCCCCAACACCAACTGAAGGGAGCTGGTGATCATCCTACTAAGCGCCTTCACTTGAAAACGAAACAAATGGATTGTGGTTTTAATCACAGCGTCAGGAACCCACGAAACTCATCAAAATCTTGGAGCACCAGCCACTCGGTAACCTATACACCATCACAGCAGCAAAACGATCACAGAGATATAAGTCGAATGAGGTAAAATAGCTTCTCCATAAAATGATTTACATCATGTAATTCGAGGCCTTAACCAAGTATAGATTATGCCTCATAATCATAAAAACTTCAAAATTTTCATGAACGTACTGAATTACATGATCTCTGTTTTTTGCAGTGCAACTCCTTACTCCTACACTTACTCTAGTGAAATCCTGCAAGGCACCCCAACACCTCGTAGCAGTGACTACACTGTCAACGAAAACGACTATCTTACACCCGATATGGAGCCAAAAGCCATGGTGTACCAAAATCTTGGCCCAAAGTTTGCAAATTCCTTCTTCACAGAAACGTTGGTTCTCATCCGGAGGAACTTCAAAAACATCTTGCGTACCCCTGAACTTTTCCTTTCCCGGCTTGTTGTCCTTACGGTTATGGGCTTTATGATGGCCACCATGTTTTGGCACCCCAAAGATACCTTGCAAGGGATCACAAATAGCCTCAGTTTCTTCATCTTCACAGTCTGTCTATTTTTCTTCTCATCCAATGATGCAGTCCCGGCTTTCATTCAAGAGCGCTTCATTTTTGTACGTGAGACCTCGCACAACGCGTACAGAGCCTCGTCTTACACAATTGCTGGACTCATTACCTACCTTCCATTCCTTGCACTCCAGGCTGCAGTTTATGCTGCCATTGTTTGGAAACCTTTAAGACTCCATGGGCCATTTCTATATTTCTTAATTGTTCTCTACATGTCTCTTCTTTCCACCAATTCCTTCGTCGTTTTTGTCAGTTCAGTTGTTCCAAACTACATATTAGGCTATGCAGCAGTTATTGCTTTCACTGCACTCTTTTTCCTCTTCTGCGGATACTTTTTGGATAGTCATGACATTCCAGGGTACTGGAAATGGATGCATTACATTTCAACAATGACATACCCATATGAAGGTCTTCTAATGAATGAATATCAAACCAATAAAACTTTTGGAGGAATTGAAGGAACTAGCATCCTGAAATCACTGGGCATTGGACTTGAGGAAAAATTCAAGTGGCAAAAGGTATATATAATGTTGGGATGGGCTGTTGTATACAGGATTCTCTTCTACATTGTACTTCGATTCTTTTCCAAGAATCAGAGGACATAGAAATTACAAATCAAAGGAGGGGTCTCTAGTTTATTTAGAAAGCACAAATTATAGTCCAGAACAGCATCATTGTAGTTTCGTTTCTTCAATTATGTGATAAATTCTTTCTAATTCTAATGATATATACATGCACGAAATAGTCATGTAATAACACCAAAAGCAGTTGTACAAAAAACCTATTTGGCAACTGGGTTCCATCCTAAAGTTAATCAATTTTCCTTATGAACCCATTATTTACGTCATGTCTAGGATTGTGAAATTTCGATCGCACTTTTCCAACAACCCTCCCTTGAATGAAGTACTACATCATCTTGGTGCCCTTATAAGTGATAACCTACACTTTCCTTTCTTCAAATTAGGAAGGTTTGCAATTTGCACATTCCATTAAGGTTCAACTCTTCCATTGTATCTAGAACCACCGCATTATGCGGGCACCACTACAAAAAATGCTTTTTGAGAGACGGAATTATGTGTCGTTGAAGCCCGAAATCCGTCGGCAATAATTTTTATAGACGGAATCCATCCGTCGGTAAACCCGACGGTAAACACCCTGTCGGTAATTGTAGCGATGGAATTGTATTAGCTGTCAATAATAGCGACGGAAAAAGTGTCGCTGTTCACCAACGAAATTTTTCATAGCTAATTGGTGATGGAAATTTCGTCACTAATTCGTTTTTGATTAACGACGGTTTAATTACTTGTTCCTAAAATAGCTATGCATCTCCCATTCTTGTTTCCGTCCCTAACTACCAACATATTTCCTGCAGAGCTCATTGTTCCTAAATAGCTATGAATCTTCCGTTTTTTGTTCCCGTTCCTAATTACCAACATATTTCTAATGGAAATAATTGTTCCTAAATAGCTACAGATCTTTCGTTTTTATTTCTGTTGCTAACTACCAACATATTTCCTATGGAACTATTTGTTCCTAAATAGCTACGAATATTCTATTTTTTTATTTTCGTCGAAAATTTGGGTTACGTTTATAAAAAATTCCATTAATTATTATATTAATAAATTTCTATCGTGAATTAAAACTGTTTGAAAAGTTAAAAATATAAAGTAAAATCATAAATAAACAAATACGAAATACAAATATTTTCTTTCAATTAATTCAAGATTCAAATTTACACAAAATTAGATCAATTTTGCTTCCATTTCAAAAGTCAATACTAAAGTTATACAATTGATCAATCAGCAGAAGATAGTTCTACACATTCAATGGTAAATTTTTACAATTTTTTACAAACAAAATAAACATTTATTATGCCCAACCATTGAAGATCATTGTGCTCAAATGACTAATCTCGTGCCTTTTTCCTAACATTCGAAGTATGGTTTGTTTGAATTCAATGCGCTTCTTCTCTTCTTCTTGCCTACCATTTTCCATTTTTTGAAGTAAATCATCATTTTCTCTTGTACGTTGATCTATCTTCTCACAAGCAGAACAAAATTCCTCTTGTAAAGTGATGAAATCAGCGTGTCCATCATATAAAACATTATGTGACCCTCTTCTCAGGATTAGTCAGGTGAAGATTGGACACCTGAATCATAAAAAAAACATTAGGTGAACCAGAGGAGGTGACATCTTTGTGCAAAGATTTTTCGTTCAATACCAAGCCCATACAAGCAACCACCCTTACAAGAACCTTGAGTTGCTTCACACCATGCTTCAATGTCAATTTCAGGTTGTGACACATTTGAACCATATTTTTCATGAATTGCAGTGTCATATTTTTCTTGTAAAACAAGAAGCAGCTCAACTTTATAAAAAGAAAAAAAGGCTTGAATTATTGTATATTAGAAGAGAATCTAAAC